TACTGAGCAGGATCACCTGAAGTTTCCGAACAGGCATGTCCAACCTGTGGCACACAGGCCACTTACAGCCCTGCACAGCTAGTAGTGAGGGCCCACAAGATCATAAGCTTTTAACATTATTATGTCATTTCTAGTGATATTTTTCACGAATCGATTGTTTACAGCTCAAGTGAGGATTGCCCAGGTGACAAGAGAATGCTGAGGAGGGCTCAGCGCTAGCCCTGCTTCTCACATCTGCCACACACTCTCAGCAGAATTGAAACCCACATGTATTACCCATCACAGGCACTTCTGAAAAATCAACTTATCAAGCTATAGCAAATAATTGTATGCATTTTGATACATTACTAAACACAGTCCTCTGAACAGTGAAAAACATGCAGCCATGCTTCCTCTTTGATAAAGGAATTTGAGAAAAGGTATCAAGATTTCTGAAAAAATCCTTTTTTCTTTTTTTTTGTAATTTACATTCCCGACTCCATTTTCAGTTGACATAAATATATTACCTGTGAATTTTCAAATGCAGTATATAGAGTTGCAATCAGATATTCAACTCAAAGGAAAATGTGATCAGGTATCTTTGCTAGACCTCTCTTATCGGAGCAAAATATCCCCCCTCAGTTCAGGATCACACCTTACTCCTGTCATCGCTTTGTGGCAGTACCCACACTGGTGCAGAACTGTTTGCAAGGATGAAAGACAGGAAGAGGAAAATTTCATCCAAAATCTCTGATGGGCACCTGGAGAAGTCATTAAGAATTGCAACTACTTCCACTGAACCAGGCAGTGATGCATGCGTTTCACAGAAACAAGGTCAAACATCCCATCCGTTTTATGACCTCGTTGCCCTCTTTCTTTCTTTCAATAAAAAAAAGGTAAAAAGACACTTTGTTACTTACAGATACATACATTAACTATATTACACATTTTATATTGCCACTCAAGACAATTCCTCTTCATTCAATGCAGCCCAGATGAGTCAAAAGATAGGACACCTATGACTAAACAAGCAGAAAAAAATGCCTCCAGGCAATAAACTCCACACTTCTGGCTGAACTGGAAGATGCAGAAGCTCCATTCAAAGACATTCCTGAACTTAATAACATGGTGATAGGTTAGAATGAAGACACAGGTAGCAAACATATTAAATGTATGACAACAAAGCAATAAAACAAATAACACATAGCCAATAACACTGAAACATCCCTAAGGCACATGTATAAGCAGCTACTGTCTGTGGCACTAAAAAGAAACTCTGAAAAAGTCTTCAAAGTTCAGTGGAATCATCCACTAAAAAAATCTCCAAAAAGAATACAGTTCAACTGTGCAGAAAAAAAATGTCTTACAGAAGTAATGAAATTGATCACCAAGATACTGCTATACTTCTTGCTTCTGCATAGTAGAATATTATCAAGTATGATAAGTACAGTATTATCATGTATGCAAGTCACTCCAAAAGTTATGCTTCCTATTTATTTCCATGGAAACTACAACCAATACAAAGAGCACCACACCATTTGATAGAGAAAATTCTCAGCTGCAAAGCTGCTCTTTCTCAACACAGTCAGCACCGTTCATCACGCATTTACACCAGCAAAGAACAAGAGCCTGCATGCTGCACTTGTATGCATCTGAAGGCTGTCTGGAATGTGGCCCGTCCTTCACCTCGCTGTCACCACTGCTGAACTGCACCACCCACATCTGACTGTGCTCACGTCCACGGTTTGGTCTCCATCAATGTTCCCACTGCCATACCACAAATATCCATCTCTGATGGCATGAATCAACATGATAAAATAAGAGAAGCCCTTGTACTTCCTATTTTCTCTAGTTTAACTCAAGAAGTAATTTGATTGCTTTAAAAATTCTACTTTCGTTAGAATTCGGAGTCTAGTCTACACCAGTAAAGCACCATCACTTTGACAACTGGTGAGCTCTTTTGCAGTACTTACAATATTAATTGCATCAGTTATTGCAGCGTTGCAGTAAAATAAGGAAGCGAAAAAAGAATAAATTAGGATATTTGATCATACTAATATGTACGTGAGTTTTGTTACAACGACCATCCCTGAAAAACAAGTTTTAACATCTTGCCTTTTCTGCTGGACAAGTGTGGAAGTTTTCACTTTTATTTCTGGAGATAATCTGAACAAAAGAACAGCAAGAAGTGGAAAACAAAGAATGGAATGGTTGCTGAGATGCTCTTCAGAGGTACTTAAAAAGATACTACTGTTCAACACTACAAGGGCCACAATAACCAGCCCTTAAGAACTGCTTGTAAAATCTCTTATGTTATTCTACAATTTGTCTTTACTGCCAAGATGAAGCACTACTTCAGTTTTGGAAGGCCCTTCTACCTAATACTTGCTAACAACTTAAAAAAAAAAAAAGAAAAAAGACTGCATTGAACATTCTCCTTGAGCATATTCATACCACATCTGTTTAATAATGCTGAAACAGGATATACATCTCAGTATAACAGGTAGGGCTGCATTTTACACACTGTGAGAAGATCGAATTTCTGTCACTTACGCTTGCCTTACATAACTTTTTAAATCCTTAATAAGAGAGAAACTCCTGACTTCATGCATGTATAATTTTTATTTCAGATGAAAATATAACTGTGTTCAGCACTCTTTATTCTGTCACTATAGCAGTAATTTCTATTATTTTTATTGTAGCAATATTTTTCTGCCTTTTGTTTCAATGAAGAAGGTAAACTAAAAATACTACCCAAATATAACATCTCTGGGGACCAAGCAAGTATTTTTATTTAAAAGGATACTGCCTCAGGTAATGAAACAAGATGTCCAACAGAGGGCGATAGAGACCATAAACTATCTGATTTAAAAATAAATATAAAAATTATGTGGCCTAAAGGAAAAGCTGCCTATTACAAACATTGGAATAATCTTCATTACTCGAGAAACATTTTCAGTTAGCTGTAATTGCAGACAGCTTCTCAGAAAAAAGATTCTCTTATGCACAACAGTTCAAAAATTAGTTCGCTAATTATTACACCCTTCAGCTACATCTGTGTTTACACAACAATGTATAAAATCCACGTTAAATGAAAGAATATATATTTCTTTTAAATTATTTTGAGCAAGTGGAATACAAAAATCTCAGAGACCCTTGAGACCGGGAATATATGCAGTAACACTCATGTTTGAGATTAATTCAGCCTTAAATCATAAGGAATAAGAGATTAGCTAAATGGCACAAAGGGAACAAGATTATAAATTTCAATGCAGATCAATCTATCTTGAAATGTGAGGTAGTTTAAGAGGAAGAATGAAGAACATCTCATAAGACATTCCAAATGCACTGAAGCCTAGGATTCCTATTCTCAGGAGAATGCTAAGGGAAGGTTTTACTGCTGTTTACACCTAATGATATCATTAGATCTACACCTAAAAGATCATATGAAGCCAGATCCTTTTCAGAAGTATGCAGTGCTAGGTTGGCAGACCAAGGTTACCTGTCACAATACAGGGAACTTCAGTCAAATACGAAGAAAACAGATTTCACTATGATAATGTTCTAACACTGAAATCTCAGCCTGGAAAAGGCCATGATAGCTATCTCACACAGCCAGCCCTGTTCTGAGCAGAGCATTGAACCACATGACTTCCACAGGTCCCCTCTGACATGAATTATTTGATGATCAAATAAATACCAAGTTACATATTCAGAGTAAGCATTTATAGCTTACTATTTATTTACATACAGCTTTGGGAAGTGGCACTCAATACCAGCAATGGCCAATTTTCAAAATGCACAACACTATTTCCCACTAGGTTCCCTTTCCTACTCTATACCAAATGCTTTTCTATACCAAATGCTTTTCTATACCATGCTTTTGTATTCGCACAGTAGGAGAACACTTGGTATACTACACCTATTTTTCACTTCTCCAAGTCATAGATCAGAAGAGTAATTAAAATATTGGCAATTACAGAATTGCTTTGAGATCATGGGATTCCTTAACAGCTTCACACAGATTTATCATCTACAAAGGAAATTCAAAGCTATGGTTTTGTGTGCACTGCAAAGAACCAGAGATCAGAAACATGCATTGTGTTGTCCAAACGTGCACAAGCAAGAGGAATCTGGACATGCAGAAAAAAAGGCTGCAGTCATAAGAGAATTCCTCTAGCAAATCAACCATTTAATCCAAACTTGACCTTTCACAATTAAAGTCCATGAATCATTTATGACCTACTTCTGTTTCTTTTGCCAACAAACATTATTCAAGTGCCAAACGCTACTTGCTGATTATTTGTGTCATACTTGCTTTCACTAATCTTACTTCAACAAAGGTTAGAAATAAACATTTTGTTCAAAAATATTTAAGACTGCTACCATCTTGTAGAAAAAGCAGAGTGTACTTGTGCATTACAAAGAGAACATAGAGAGCAGACTGCAAAAAGTCCTTCCAAATCCTTGAAAAATTGCCATTCGTTTCAGTATTTTCTAAGAGAACATCACTGCTGAGTAAATGGACAGCCAGTAAGGCATGAATCTTAAAAGTGGCAAACATAGGCCAAGTAGAAAAATAATACCAGCTAAAACACAATCAAATAATAGTTTCGTCAGTTACCTTCTCATGTTGCAGACTGAAAAAAATACCTCCATGCTGAAGTTTAAACAAAGGAAGATACTACATTTCTCTCTTATTTAAGTTTCCAGTGTTTTTATTCTGATTATTCCACAGAATCTCATTTATAGAAAGCTAGATATTTAAGTCACCTTAATGGCAGCCAGAACACCTTCTGAATCCTGCCTTTCAGCATTCCACAGTTTGCTCTTAGTAGACAAACAAATTAGATATGAAAATAAAACATGCAATAACGTAAGCTAGCGATTCTCAGATCAGCTAAAAAATAAAAAGTTGACACCATTTCACGGGTAAAGTCGTATCAACCTCTGTTAGAATTTCAGTATCTACAGGCTGAGTTCAGCACAGACAGCCAACCTGCTGCCAATAATAACCTTACCTTACACTGCCCTGCCACGCAGATTGAAGTTCCGTTTTGGTCGCACGGTGTCCCATCTATCACCTTTTCAGCTTGTCTCACATAGAATCGGTAGCCTATAGCACGGCAATTCAGCTCACACTTCTGACTTCCCTTCACTGTAGAAAAAGACCAAAAAAAAAATCTTGTTAGGAAGACCAGAGCAGTAATGTTAACAAAGAAAACTATATTAAACTAGCCCTGTGGTTTGCAAGAATGCAATGTGAATGTCTACATCAAATGAATGCTGAACAAGAAAGCAACTCCAATGTAAGCACTTGTACATACTTAATGAAAAGTCAAACAGTATCTCAGCCTTTAATGACAGATATGTTTTTAAGTGACCCAGAGTATTTTAAACTTTTAGAAAATCTTTCCAAATTGAGTCTTCTCACAGCATAGTATTTTGATGCTTCATATCTCCAAAATGTTGTCACATTACACTGCCATCAGAAAGACATGTCTCAGATTAGGCTCACATACTCACTAACTGGTCAGTTCACCTACAATACACAAATTTTTATTAGAATAAACGCTTTAAAAATATATGTGAAAATTTAAAAAAAAATCCAAAGGCTTTTTTCCACTTGTGCTTTATGCCAGCAGGTGGCTGAGCACCACACAGTTGTTTGCTCACTGCCTTGCTTCCCAGTGGGATGGGGGAGAGAACTGCAAAAAAAAGTAAAACTTGTGGGTTGAGATGAAGCTATTTACTAAGACAGAGAAAAGGAAAAGAATAATAAGTTCTGACAATATATAGATATCTATGTATATATATGTATGTATATAAAACACGTGATGCACAAGCAATTGCTCAGTACTCCCCAGCAGATGCCCAGCTGGCATACCCAAACAGCAGAAGAAAGAGAGATGAACTCTCACACTCATCAAAACTCCTTCTGCGTGATGCTGTATGCTATGGAATGTCCCTTCGGCCAATTTATGACAGCTGTCCCAATTCTGTTCCCTTCCAGCTCCTTGGGCCCTTCAATGAGAATCACAGAATCACAGAATCAGAACTAGAATTAGAGAATGGCCTTGGCTCCACAACACTTGGCTACAACACTACTCTAGCAGCAACTATAAACACTCATGTGTTATCAGTGTTGTTTTCCTCCTGGAACCAAACCACAGTATGACACCACACACTCTGAAGAAGGTCCATCCCAGCTGAAACTAAGACACCTCTACACTTCAAAAAGCTAGAAATTTATAATTGTAGAATCATAGAAACACAGAATGATTTTGGATTGGAAGGGACCTTTAAGATCACCTATTTCTACCCCCCCTGCTATAGGCAGGGGCACCTCCCTCTAGCCCAGGTTGCTCACAGCCCCATCCTGTCTGGCCTTGAAGGCTTCCAAAGAGGGATCATCCATAATCTCACTGGGAACCTGTTCCAGTGTCTCATCACCCTCACAGCAAAGAATTTCTTCCTAATATCTAATCTAAACCTACTCTCTTCCAGTTTAAAACCATTTCCCCTTGTCCTGTTGCCACATGCCCTTATAAAAAGTCCCTCCCCAGCTTTCCCATAGGCCCCTTCAGGGACTGCAAGGCCGCTGTAAGGTCTCCTTGGAGCTTTCTCAGCCTGTCCTCATAGGAGAAGTGTTCCAGCCCTCTGACCATCTTTGTGGCCTCTCAAGGCCACACAAAAGACTGCTTCCCAGTCATTAAGCTGGGACTTATCTCTCTCTCATTGCCCCTGGCTTGAAAAATGTTCAGATAAAGGATTTCTCAACCTTGACCAGGACGTGTCCATCAGTGCTCCTCAGCGAGCTTTGGGACAGTGGTGCAAAAGAATAACCTCCTACACCACCCCGTGACTCAAAGGTTGCTTAAAACGGGATCCACGACGGTGAGAAAAAGACAGCAAGCATAAGGGTAAAGGAGGGAGGGGGAAGGGAATCAAATGTTTCATTTTCCAGGCTTGGTTATAACTGTTGTCCTCATGGGACTGGTCCTCAGTTGAAGTAGTTACAATGTAAATCAAGGATACAACACCTTGGATAAAACATGGAACCATGCGAGAAACAAAGAGCTGCAACAGCACACAATATCAACTCGCCCCAGGCACCAACCCGAGATTCTTCAAGAGTGGTAACACCAATGTTACGTGATGAACAGAAGGGAGAAAAGTGACAACCACACATTTAACAATAACCACACATTTAACAATAACCACACATTTAACAATAACAAATATAACAAATAGAGGTACAACATTACCTCCCACAACAACATAAAACATAGTACTACTGCAACCAAAATACAAAATGTAATCAAGAGGTACACAGCATTATAGTGCGATCAAATTTTCAATATTTGTGTCACAAAGCACAAATAATAAGTGTAAAAGAATAATCTCTTACATGGGCCTCCTCTAGACCTGCTCCAACAGCTCCCTGTCCTTCGTGTGTTGGGGGTCACAGAACAGGACACGGTACTGCAGGTGGGATCTCACGAGAGCAGAGTAGAGAGGCAGAGTCACCCCCTGCCCCTGCTGGTCATGCATCTTTTGATGCAACCCAGGATATGGTTGGCCTTCTGGGCTGTAAGTGCATGTCACTGTACAAAACCTCATGAAAGCTCATCCCAAATAAAACCTCCAGACCTGGCAAGAGCCAGAAGGAAACCAGACCACAGAACACTGAGTGCGAAGAACAAAGACAAGACACAGCCTTCTCATGTAAGGTTCTGTTACTCAAAGAGATCAGCCTAACACACCATGCATCTCACACTGTCAAGTTCATTAATACATCTGTAGTCATTCTACTTCAAATCATCGGTCATGTTAAAGTTGCACACGTTTAATTACTCCTATTTGCCAACTGAAACAACAATACCTTCAGTTTCTTTCCAACTAAGAATCACAGTGGCAATGAAGTACAAACAGAATTATTTCGACAACAAAATCTTTCCCGTTGACATAATCAAAGAACAAAAATTCCACCAACTTCACAAAGCTTCAACTCATATCCTACGGCATAATTGAAATCCACTGCAATATCACAACACCAAAGGAAACACTCTATACTTCAGTTAGCTGCTAACGCGCAGTACTCCCAGGATGTTCCACTTGACTCATAGCATATTTCTGAGTCTTCATGCATGGGTGTCCAACCTTTCAGCTTGCCTGTTCTGTATTGAGTGATGAGGAATTGTACTGGGTCACATATATAATATATTATAATGTGTATAACTAGCACAACTTTTTATTTATTCATTTATTTATTTGATTCTTTATTAAAAGGTAAGGGAAAAAAGCAGGCAACAAAAACACAGAACTAGCAGGCTGGACGTGTATGATCTAAAGTATAACACCTGACCAAAATAAATACATGCAATAATTTCACATTCGTGTTTAACATCTATCTTCTGTGAAAGAAATTAACTCATAGCTCAACTTCAGTAACATCCTACTGGGACGCAGGAATAGTGCAGGCCAATTTTGAATTTTGAACCTCATCTGCATGATGAAAAATACATTTAACTTTACCTGCCACTCATGTATGTGATCAACTGTGTCTCACAATCTTTTGTTAAAATCCTTTAATAGCTCTACTGATTTGAAACGAGGTCAATCACCAGTTCGCTTTCCCTTTTTGCAAATGCTATGCTCAACTATGCAGTTTTTCCACTGACTACTCTGTTAAGACAGATTCACTATCATATCATCCCAAGGACTTCACTTAGTTCTTAAATAAAACAAAATTTTAAAAAAGTGAGATCTTTCCTGCAGTTCAATTCCCAAGTATAACAGCTTTTATGACGAACTGAGTAACGTTATCAGCTCAGATACCTCACACAAAACTACTTTCAGAATTCTCAACTGAATGTAATTCAATTTCAATACCCTTTCCACTGAAATCATTGTCCTTCTCTGAAAGCGCCCTATTTTTACAACCTCCGCATAAAAAAATACATTTTCTTATTTTTCCTTTCCCTAAAACCAAACTAGAAACCAGCATTTTCTTAAACGTCTGTAGATTTTATGTTTATTTCCTTTAGTTCAAGGATTCTGAAGCCTCACATTCCTGTCCTCCTCCTAGTATGTCTTGTTTGGTTTTGATCCTTTAAAATACTTATCCTGTAAGTTCTCAGTTTGCCTTCTAGACTCTGAAAAGGAGAAAGTTAAATAAATTACCTGTTGAACCATCCCATTTTTCCCTGGACTTCCCTCTTTCTTTTTGCTGTGCAAGCCTACTATAATGCTAAAGTAGTGTATAAATAATAACAGTCATGCTGAGCTCACTTGCTTTCAGTGGTCAAAATAAATAAATAAAACAAAAATAAATCCTAAACAAAGAGTTAGAGTCTCTGCCTTCAACATTCAAAATTCAGATTCGCTTGATGAGAAAGTGCAAGGCACTGTCTTGGTCAGACATATACCAAATACTACCTTTAGAGACAATGTTCCCAGATTTCAAAGATGGAAAAAACCTTTTGACTGCCTAAGAGTCTAAGTGAATAGCTCCTTCTGAGTGACAGGTATCTTCCATTAGGATCTGTAAAAGTGTGGTGTATTTACTATGCATAAATCACAAAAGAACATATTTGAGAACTCCCTTGCAAAACAAGAGACCAAAGTAGTAAAAAGTACTCTAACACCAATTAACTTTCCATGTATCTTGACACTTCTCCTACCCAGTCTTTTGCCTCAACTGTTGTGTTTTTAATCCCATGTCAAACTACACTATTGGCTTGGCAATTGGACAAAAAACATTGATTAAACAATGAGCTGTGAAGAGATTGATTCCACACAGGCAATGTGTTTTAGTACTGTCATATGATCCCAGCCTTTACAAAAGCATCTATCTGACCTCAGGGAATAGACTAAGGCCACAAGCTGAAGGCCTGCCAAGGCAGCTGGCAGCAAGAGACATTACTCAAAAATGGGCTCTTTTAAAAGGCATAACACAGTTACTAAGACAGTTCACTATACAGGTACTGTTTCACATGTCTCCCTAACGTTATTTGCTTCTCATGCCTATCTTAACACAACCAAGTCTTTGTGGAACTTCTCACCGTATTCATTTAAACTACCTTATTAAACAGTCCACTTGGGTGAAATACAACGCTACTGTGAGGAGACTGCCAGAAATATTCATTATTGACT